TAATGTACTCCTATGTTTCAATTTATTTTATTTTATTTCATTCAAGTCAGGAACAACTTGAGAAACTGCAAGTCATTTATGGTGTGAGAGAATTGGCCATCTGCAAGGATGTTGCCCAGGGGATGCCTGGATGTTTTACCATCCTTTGGGTGGCGTCTCTCATGTCCCTGCATGGAAAGCTGGGGCTGACAGACGGGAGCTCATTCTTCTCCCTGGATTCGAACCGCCAACCTTTCAGTCAGCAGTCCTGCCAGCACAAGGGCTTAACCCATTGAGCCACTGGGGGCTCTGTTTCAGATTTTAAAGATGAGGGAGCCAACTGCACTTTAAATCCATGCCAAAACCTAACTTCCAACAAAAGTTCTTAATATAAAAACCTATGTGCGGTTTTTTGTTCTTGATCAAGTGTTGCCGATTCTTTGTATGTCAAATTCCTTGGTATCAAGAAGCACATTTGCTTTTTTCCCACAATTAAAGGAGAAAACACTCTGTGTTTATAAATTTATTTATCAATAGCATCCTCTCACAATCCTCTATCCATTAGCCTAATGTTACAATCTAGTTGTGTTCCTTAAACTAATCCACACTTCTTTAGCATTTATTTATCCTTAACAAGGACTGTGTACATTAAAAGCACAACAAATCCTTTCCTAAAAATCCAAAGAACTAGCCAAACCAAAACATTTAACAGGAATGGTCAACAAATCCTTATGTGAGTTATATGTTCCCAGACAAAAATTTTGGAGTTTCTTCAGCAGTAGCAGAAGTCATGTATGTGAAATAGAAGCCCAGGAAACAGCTGGTAAAATGACAAGTTCAGATTTGACTACCCTGGAATATTATCATGTTGCTGTTACTTACTGCTGGGTTATATTTGCATTGCAGCTGTAATTTAATTACCAATGGTAATTTTTAATAACTAAAAAAACAATATTACTGGAGAAAGTATAATTTAGTAAAGGCTGCATCAATAGGAGTATAGTGACTAGATCGACGTTCACTCTATTCTGCTTTGGTCAGACCTCACCTGGAACAGTTCTGGGCACCAAAATTCAGGAATAGTATTGACAATCTGGAATGTATCCAGAGAAGGATAACCAAAACAATCAAAGATATAGAAGCCAAGTCCTCTGAGGAGCATCTGAGGGAGTTTGGTATTGTTTCACTTGGGGAAGAGAAGATTGCCATGCTTAAATATTTGAAAGGATGACATATTGAGCAGCAATTAGCCTGTTTTCTGATGCTCCTAAGACACAGAGCAACAGATTCAAACTGCAGGAAAATAGAGTCCACCTTAGGAAGAACTTCCTGACATTAAGAACTTTTCGATAGTAGAACAAGTGACCTGGGAGAATGGCAAAGTCTTCTCTGGAGCTTTTTAAGCAGAGGCTGTATAGCCATCTGTCAGGAAAGTTTTCTTTGTGTATTCTTAAAGGGCTTGGTTTGAATGATCCCGGGAGTCACTTCCAGCTCTATAATTCCATGATTATAAAGAAGGAAAAATTAACTGGTAAACTCTGAGCCCCCTGGTGGCACAGCAGGTTAAACTGCTGAGCTGCTGAACTTGCTGACCAAAAGGTTGGCTGTTCAAATCTGGGGAGCAGATCCTGCTGTTAGCCTCAGCTTCTGCCAACCTAGCAGTTTGAAAACATGCAAATGTGAGCAGAAAAATAGGTACCGCTTCTGCGGGAAGGTAACAACGCTCCATGCACTTATGCTGGCTACATGACCTTGGAGGTGTCTACGGACAAAGCCGGCTCTTCGGCTTAGAAATGGAGATGAGTACCACCCCCACAGTCAGACACGACTAGACTTAATGTCACAGGGAAACCTAAAAATCTGAGCCATATAGCAAGAGTCAGCAGTAAGTCCTTTATACAGCTTTACTTATGCTGCCCTTGCATGGTGCTGACTTGTATAAGAAGTATTAGGCTTTGTGCTCAGCATCTTCTGTGTCTGAAGATTCTGGTCTCTTGTGCTCCTTCTCGTGCAGTTACAAACTACAGTGAGAGCCAAAAGTTTGTTCTGCATTTTTAAAAAGACAGTCACTAGTGGAGTTCAATCATAAAGACAACTGTTCAGCATTACAATTATGAGCCTACTTGAGGTCAAAACTCACAAGCTCCTTGCCTCCTCTTTCAAAAATGTGAAGGAGATAACAGAAGCTTCTATAATCACCTCTGAACTAACTGAAGTTTCCTGTTATACCCAAATTCAGGATTGTCCCTTGCCCCAACTGTGATTAGAATGAGCTCTAGCTTTCCAACCTTGCCACCACTCTACAGAACTGGAAATAGACATTTAAATATATGAGGTGTTTAGATTATGCTGAGTGTACCTTGAGTTGTACCTCAAATGGCATTTTATTTGTTTATAGGTTGGGGTTATACACATATTCTATGTGATTAAAGATGAGAACTATGCCCTTTCACTGCCAGCAATTTTCCTTAACTGAGGATCATTCTTCACACATCCAGATAGGGGAAACTGTTACATGAATTATGCTGCTATGTCACACACTTCCTGGGAAGACCACAATTGAGAAACAGAATGAAAGACAATTTTTGTATAGATTTAAAAACTGCAGCTTTCAAAAGGCATCTGCAATTTCAGGAAAAAATCTGGGGGAAAGAGAGAGGAAAATTAATTTGAACAGAACATTCTAAAAGTTTTTGGTTTACACCCGACCCACAATACTACAAATAACAGATGAGCCAAGTAGTAAACATTCTGGGTCTCAGCTGAACACTAAAACAAACCATTGCTGCCTTTTAAAACTGCACAGGAAGATCTGTCTGCACTCAAAGGGGTGAGGCCATGCGTGTATATTTTCTATCCCAACCCAGTGGCAAGGCATTTAAGATGTCTCTAATCCTCTTTTTGACCTGAAGTCAAAACCCCTTTCATACTTGTAATTATGTGGAATGTTTCCCCATCTGGAGCTTGATTTAATATTCATGGGCAAGTTTTCTAGGACGGAATAACAAGATGTGCTCTAATCAGCTTCTTCTGTAGACAGCTCAAAGTTTCTTGCCAATTCTGTTCTTTTAATCAAAATGGAGTTCATCTCTATTTCAAAGTCATGCTTGGAGGCATTTTGACCCTCTTGCTTTTTTCGTTGTCTCTCTTGGACCCCATTTTGTCCCACCAGCTCCTGTCATGTAACACAATTCATTGATTATTACTAAAATTTAACTTTCCCTCTTGTTTATATACTAGCAGAAGCCTAAAGAAGTGATCTACTGCATGTATTACAGATAAATATCTGTTGCTGAGTGGGTAGTAAAATTTTGCCCCAAGGAGGTCAGCTTCAAAAGAAGCTTTTATCACTTTTTAAAAATCTATCTTGGGTAGGAATGCCCTGTGCTTGGTCTGCAGACATCAGCTCTGGAGAATTCCTGCCTCCCTTCACCCCCCAAGAAGGAAGAATGCAGCCATGGATTTGATCTCAGTGTGGAGGCCCAGGATAAATCACAGGGGTCACTAGACTGACAAATTAAGCCAGTGTCTGGAAATGAAGTTGCTGATGAAAAATGTTAATTATTTCTACTTCTACTTTTTTTTCACTCTGGCTGATACAGTAGAATGATTATTCCAAGTCATTTTAAAAGCCTCTCAAAAAGCTACCGAAATAATTATCTTCTGCAAAAAATAAAGTCTCTATAGATGATGAAACAGAAGAGAAATTAGTACTGTCACATAGATTTACTGGCATTAATTACATGTGGATATCCTTCTGATGATGATTGATTACATTTCTTAAAGGAAGGTCTTTCAAAATATTCTTAGTGGACATGTGTTTCCAGAAAACCGAGAGCAAAACAGTGAATGAGGGAAAAATTCAAAAACTACCAACTTCCTAATCCAGACAAACCAACCTACATTCTGCAGCCAGAAACACCCAATAACTCTGTTCTGCAGTGTTGCTGACCACAGTCGGCCTTATATGCTACGGATGAGGAATACACCTATCAGCTGTTAACTGCCTGCCACACAAACTTGGCTACATATAATAACTATGCATGCTGACCTATATATCAGGAAACATAAGCAAAACAAAAGTTTCAAATTAAGATCAAAACAGCACCTTTAAGACAAGCACATTTCTTGCAGCATGAACTTTTGTGGATTAGAATCTGCATGGGTGAATCTAATGAACTGCACTATAATCTGTGAAATGTCATGCGATAATAAATCTCTTAGTCTTAAGAGGTGCTCACAATTTTTGTTGTTTTGCTGCAACAGAGGAACATGAATATCCCTTTGCAAAATTCCTATTTAGGCCAAAGGGTCCTTTTTCCAGATGGTTAGCTGCTCAGCTGTACAAATTAAGAGAATGAGCAAGTAAATTGGTGCTCTATATGGGCACCAGTGAATTGCTCACATAGAGATCAGTGAGTGATCCCAAGAGCCTATTGCTCAAGGAAGCTCCAACAGGTTCACAGTCATCCATGAGTCACTGAGAGGTGACACATAATTCCTGCACTTCTGAATTGTCCATGCTAGGCTTCCTTTCCCAGAAGTGAACAAGCAATATGTTGATGGAAAACCAGAGGCTAAGGCTGCCAAAGTACGAAGCTGAAGAGATAAAGACCTATGGGCAGGCCAGAGCAGCCATACACAGGTGAAATGTCCTATTATCTTTTTTTGAATTGTACAAACTAACCAACTTATTTTAGTCTTTTTTTTCTTTCTTCCTTCTCTCCTTTTTCCTTCTTTCTTTTGCCCACTGGAGAAATGGGTCAATTTATGATAATAACCTTGCTGGAAATAACACCAGAGACAACTGAAAGTTTCTATGTTACTGAAGTAATGCATTTGCTCTGAATTTTAGTCCTAACTTTGTTGGGGCTATCCAAGGTGCTGAATTCTATCCCTCCTCTTCCACTTCCTCAAATTATGTTCAGCATCTTGGGGAATTTCTTTGAACTTAAGACTAAAACTCAAGGGCACCTTCACCAATTGCCACCGAAGACTTTCTTGATGTTAGCTGTGCTCACCTGATATTTATCATGATCAGCTCCTCCGGCTTGTGCCACAAAAAGCCCTGAGCCATCTTCCAGTTCCATCTCATCAGGTGAGCGTTCAAAATGGACCCGCTCAAATTCCTCACAGTCCACATAAAGAACCACTTCTTCATCTTCCACACTGATCGCAAAGCGTGTCCAACGATTGACCATTGAAGGAACTGTGAATGTGGCAGCTGCATAGGAGTTCTGAGATCCAGGCTCCGTGTAATAGAAGATGATCTGTTGTTTCCCAGCTTTCACCTCTGATAACTTCACACCAACATAGATGATTGATTGTGAGGAATCTGTGATGGCAAAAAGTACTCCTGGTTTCTCAGTTGTGGGCTGTACGTGGAACAAGAGTGAGAAGTCTCTGTAAAAAGGGCTGGGAAGGTGGTAACGTGCCACTTGCCCCGTGTTAGCATCCTGTCCAAAGACATAGCCGGGGCTGTTGTCTGGGCCATATACTTTGGTTATTTGTTCTGGTGGTGGATCCCCAATCAACTCTATGAGACCAACTTCTGTGCTGAAGTTTTCTGTTGAGAAAGAAAGAGAGCATCTCAGAAACAAGAAAAGCAACTTTCCATAACATGGAATAGACCCACTCATACATGGGAATCGCCTAATAATCTTAAAATGAGAAAAGTGTAGCCCAAAGCTGTCTTTAAAGGAAGGAAACAACTGACTTATGAAATTATTTAGAGCTTGCTACATTTTTTTACTCATCCACACAGACAGTTTTTGAAGACGCATGTTTGTACCAAGTTACTGTTTAGCTAAGAGTGCATATAATCCATATTCAATGCTGGCTGCTAAATCTTCAGTTCCAAAGGCAAATAGATCAGCTGCAACACAGTGCAATTAGGTTTCAGCACCAATAAGCAACACACTACAAAAAGAGAATCAACACTGTGATTAAGTGGTGCTATAATTCTGCAATTTAAAAGTCTTCCTGATGCTAAAGCTTTCCCCATGACATTAAGTCTAGCCGTGTCCGACTCTGGAGGGTGGTGCTCATCTCCATTTCTAAGCCAAAGACGTAGACGCCTCCTGGGTCATGTGGCCAGCATGACTGCATGGAGCACAGTTACCTTCCCATCAAAGTGGTACCTATTGATCTATTCACATTTGCATGTTTTTGGACTGCTAGTTTGGCAGAAGCTGGGGCTAACAACGGGAGCTCACCCTGCCCCGTGGATTTGAACCGCTGACCTTCTGGTCAGCAAGTTCTGCAGCTTAGCGGTTTTACCCACTGTGCCACCATGGTCCCCTGCTGGCTCTGAATATTTTCAAGAAATAAACTACCATGCACCCATAACATTCTGTAGCCATGTTTTAAAGATGTTCTGCTACAAAAAGATTTTGGGGGTGGTGATGTACAATTAAAGGTTTTGAGATTTTGATTCCATAATAATTATAGTTTCTTGGTTTTTTAAAGTTCAAAATTCAGAATTAAACCTCCGTAAATCATATTTTAAAATGTTTGAGATTTAATGTCTACTTTGTCATGCTATTTGGACTCTCCAGACAGAAAATCCTGCTAATCTGGTTAAAGTAGCAAAACAAACTGAGATGCAATCGTTTAGCTGGCCTAATGTAGTTACCCTGAAGAGTGCCTTGCCTTTAAAAAGAAATCTAATTCTAAGTTTTATAATTAAATGACTTAACTACATTATAACTAATGAAATTTCAAAATAATACAATCAACATGCTGGAATACAACACTGGCAGAAATGCAAATTTTCCACCCAGGAGTACATCAGTATATAAAGATTGCACAGCGACAAATCTATACTAGGATAAAGGCAGAGTAGCAAATTGCTAGCATTAATGACCTCTCACACAATCCATTTCCATACATCTAGACAAATGTGTATAAGTTTGTAGTCTTACTAAAAATCACTGCAGAAAACCAAGTCCTTTTGCGCACTATTTTGGATGCTTTCAGAAAAAAAGTACAGCCTTACACAAATGAATACAGAACTTTGCTTTAGGGCAGCACTTTGGAATAGTGTAGGTATCTCCAGAACTCAGTTTTGATGGCAAAACTCTCTGCAGGCTCATTTTACACTGAAATGTATGTATGGACAGTGACCATAGTGCATGGCCCATGCACCAGTATCACACTTCATTTAAAAACACACGTTCATCACATGCATTCAGTACATTTTATAAGGCTACATAAAATATTTTACTTGTACATATATCCACATAAAGAAAAGAAAGACATGTGGCAGAGATGAGATTTCATAGTTTGAAATAACACTAGGCTCTCTCTCTGTATAATTTTTGTTGTATTTTTCAGTCCCCTGGTTCTAAATCAGCCTGCCAATAAAACTAGTTGCCAATGCTTTTGGCACTCATACCATAAAGCACAATGGACCCATTAGGACAGCTGGATGCTCGGTTTTACAGTTATGGAAAACAATTTAACACTCATTATTTCTTTGAAAATGAATGGTTTCTTCCATTATAGGGTGGTATAGGAGGGGAATGAAAGAATCTAAACATTTTGTGAAGGCTACCAGCTGTCACTAAACTGGATTGTAAGATATGATCTTGTCAAAATAGGAAATACAATACTGTTTACAGTAATTAGGAGACATTCGAGTAGCAATGTATGCAATCCCTACCTGAAAATGGGGGGGTGGGGATGGAGTGGAGGGTTGAACATAGGAAAAACAAATGCTCTGCCATTTGTGATCCATCTCCTGACCGCTGGGAGGCAGTCAGGAGAGCAAATCAAGCCTGACCTTCCTTAGAAGTCAAGATGACGAAACTGAGATTGTCGTATGTTGACCATATAATAAGAAGACATGACTCTTTAGAGAAGACAATAATGCTTAGTAAGGTAGAAGGCCAGACTTTGTATTTCTAGGGGCAAAGATTACTGCAGATGCAGACTGTAGCCAGGAAATCAGAAGACGCTTACTTCTTGGGAGGAGAGCAATGTCCAGTCTCGATAAAATCGTGAAGAGTAGAGACATCAGACTGGCAACAAAGATCCGCCTAGTCAAAGCCATGGTATTCCCTGTAGTCACCTACGGATGTGAGAGCTGGACCTTAGGGAAGGCTGAGCGAAGGAAGATCGATGCTTTTGAGCTGTGGTGTTGGAGGAAAGTTCTGAGAGTGCCTTGGACTGCGAGAAGATTCAACCAGTCCATCCTCCAGGAAATAAAGCCCGACTGCTCACTGGAGGGAAGATACTAGAGACAAAGTTGAAGTACTTTGGCCACATCATGAGGAGACAGGAAAGCCTAGAGAAGACAATTATGCTGGGGAAAATGGAAGGAAAAAGGAAGAGGGGCCGACCAAGGGCAAGATGGATGGATGGCATCCTTGAAGTGACTGGATTGACCTTGAAGGGAGCTGGGGGTGGTAACGGCCGACAGGGAGCTCTGGCGTGGGCTGGTCCATGAGGTCACAAAGAGTCGGAGATGACTGAACGAATGAACAACAACAAGGTAGAAGGCAGCAAGAAAAGAGGAAGACTACATTCCAAATTGATGGTTTCCATCAAGGAAGCCATGGCCCTGAGTCTGCAAGACCTGAGCTGGGCTGTTGACAACAAGGTGACTTGGAGGTCTTTTATTCATCGGCTCACCATAAGTCAAGTCTATCAGATGGCTGTTTAAAACAACAAGTTCTCAAACAGTCTTTCAAAGGAGCCCTGTGTACAGTGCATTATAGAATCCAGTTCTGCCCTGAGAAATTGGTTGAACGCTCCCTGATTCTTTCTCACCAAGAGTTTTGTATTTTTGACAGTTCAGAGGAACGTTCTCCAAACCTCTCTGAAGGGACTCATCTTTCACATCCTCTTCCCCTCCCCATCTACATCCTTGGCTCCTTGTACTTCATTTTGTCAATTGCATTATCAAAAGCAAACACACTATTCCATGGGGATAACATTTTGCTGATTCTCAAGACTTGCACAAAACATGGCATAGCAAAAGCATCTGTTGCTTTCTGGCAGTGGCTAAGAAATAGGACTAATTCACACAAATAACTAGATCAGTGCTATTTCAATCTCTATTGGCTGGGAGTGTGGGGAGTCCTTCGTGAAGCACAGATGGAAATCCCTATGGCAAGTCTCTTGTGGCTGTGTCACAGACCATATTGGAAAACTTGCTGTGAGAACACGAACCCAGCATGGCCTGCTTCCTTTTCCATGCTTGTCTCAAGAGAACAGAGCCTCTTCCATACATTAAGAAAATAATAAAAGGGGGAGGGGAGTTCACACAGATACTTTCAAAGAGCTTCAAACTCAAGGAGATAACATTCCTGATAGTCAGATGGGTAGTTTATTCCAATATATACTTCTTTAAGGATTTTTTTTTTAAGTATATGAAGTTGGGCCAGTGAAACCATAATGATGATGATGATGATGATGTCAACCACAGATTGACATCTATTTCACAGATTCATAACACAGAGACTTGCATGACACTCTTCAAAGTATTTCTTCTAATCTACAACTAAATTTAAAGGAGCCCCCTGTGGCACAGCAGGTTAAACTGCTGAGCTGGTGAACTTGCTAACCGAAAGGTCAGCGGTTTGAATCCAGGGAACAGGATGAGCTCCTGCTGTTAGCCCCAGCTTCGGCCAACCTAGCAGTTTGAAAACATACAAATATGAATAGATCAATAGGTACTGCTCCGGCAGGAAAGTAACAGTGCTCCATGCAGTCATGCTGGCCATATGACCTTGGAGACGTCTACAGACAACGCCGGGTCTTTAGCTTACAAATGGAGATGAGCACCAACTCCCAGAGTCAGATATGACTAGACTTACATATCAAGGGGAAACATTTACCTTTACTTACAACTAAATTTAGGCCAGATCTGTGTTTAACCACTCACCTGCCACCCTGTAGTGGACTATATTTGTATTCCTCCAGGAGGTGAGGATGAGAATTTCTGTCCAACTGGGGGAAAGGGGTTTAATTATACTTTTCTCATTGGTTCATAATCCCAAACTTTGAGAACAGTATAGCTACTCTATCATCATAAAAAAGATCTTTTTTGGGGGGGTGGGGGGGGTGGGGTCTCAATCTCATGTTTCTAGTGCCACTCACATGACCAGAAATGAACAACTGAGTCCCTCCAGTTGTTTGGTAAATGTATCTCCCATAGTTTTTCTTGACTGGCTATGCTGGCTAGGACTGTTGAGACTTACAGGGCATAGTTGCCAGCCATAAAGAAGAGGCAAAATAAATGATACACAGAAGGGTTGAAACACCAGATCCTGCCTGATCTTGGATACGAGGCAGGGTCAGTCCTTGGAAGGGAGACCACTAATGATTGCTAGGTGCTGTAGGCTATATTTCAGAGAAATAAATTAACAAAAGCACCTCTTAATATTCTTTGCCTAAGATAGCCCTATGAAATCCATGTAATCACCACTAGTTTCCAGGCAACCTGAAGGCAAACAAACATATAAATAGATTTACAGATGTAGGGGCCAGCAAGATCTTTACACTACTTCAAAATCATTTTTAGTCCTTCATGGAAATAATAGTATAATTTAAATACTGAAA